AAATGGTCCAGCTAAAGCCTTCCTCCTCCCAGGCCTCAGAAAACAAGTATCACCCTTCAAGTGCTTATGCTCAGTAGCCCTTGTTTCTGAAACCAAGTTGCCCAGTATTTATAAGAGAGAATCCCATAGCCTTCCATAAAGTCCAGATTGTGGGTCAGAAAATGAGCTCCAACCATGTATGTCTGCCCCACAACAGCTTGATTCTGTAAGGAGAAGGAAGAGGGAATACGGAAATGAGGATACATTCTTTCATTCCGCTTTTCTTTGCCTACCTATCTAGAGCCAGGCATTGAGGGTACGGTGCTGAGCATGACCTTATCCTCACAGAGTCACCACCTAGCTGGGCACGTAGGTGTGGGGTAATGGGGGGTTCTATCTGGACAAGAAGTGAAAAGTTCAACATCACAGTGAATTACAACCAGTTGTTCGTGGTGAAAGAGCCATTGGTTCATTACAATGATAAAAGGGGAAGGTAATACAAATGGACTGAAAGGTTGTAATGAACAAATGTGTTTCCATCAGAGACTAAAAGAAATTCTGGATAATGGCCAGACCAAACTGTATGAACCCCACACTGGCATTATGTTCAAACACCAGGTTATCAGTTACAAACAATGCAGAAAAATAGGATGTAATCAATGTTCTTTAAAACAATGTTTTTGTACTAATTATTTATCAGTGTCAATAGAGACATGATCTCTATTATATGAGATAAGGATGGGAAATAGAGGCATGGGTTTCTTCTGGAAGGAAGATAAATTTAGAAAAGCATGTAAGGTTGAGGAGTGTTGGGCAGTACTGGTTAGAGAAGACTGCGATGGAGGAGGGATGTATTTCAGGGCTAGTTAGGAAAGGGCATGTTAAGTCAGTTAAATGCAGGAGCTAATACAGTTCAGCAAGGCACTGCAAAACAAAGAGGGAAACTGCAAAATATCAACCACCTTGTGAGGACTGGAGCGGTCCCAGAACATAGTTGGGGTTTGTTAATATGAAGTAGAGGGTATAACCCACTTTTAAGTCCCACAGGCCCTCCACTAGGTAATTATAATGAGAATACTTGCGTGCAGATGAAGTAGAAGGTGCCATGGAGTCAACCCCTAGTCTAATTAGCGTCCTCTTCAATGGACTTTGGGAAGTGTTTGTGCCAGGAACGCACTAGATACTAAGACAGAGAACTTACTAGACATATAAGAGGGTCAGTTGTACGAATGACGGAGGCCCCAAGAGGATGGGTGGCTATTCCAAGTCCTGAAGCCCACTGGGGACAGTACCAGGTATCGTCACTCCTAATACAGTGCTCTTTGCCTTATGCTTCAACATTTTTGCAATTCTTTCCAATTCAACAAATATTTATCACAGATTTTTATGTACCTGTGTTTGATTATATCAACCCATTTCTTAAAAACCCTTCCGTGACTTCCCATTATTCTCATGTAATAGAGTATACAAGCCTCTTTATAAGTCAACTGTCTACCATTCCAACTTCCCTCTTGCCACTCCCACCAACTTCAACCATCCAGCCGTTTTGAACTGGTGGACGTAGTATAATGGAGTCAACAAGCACAAAGGCTTTGGAGTCAGAGATCTGGGTTTGAACGAGGTTTCTGCCACTTACTTAGCTGTATGACCTTGGGAAACTTAATTCATCTTCCATAGCCTAGTTTCATCATCTGTGAAATGGGGGTAACAACACCTATCTTCTAAGCCGTTGTTAGAATTACCTGATTGTTTTAGAAGGACTTCTGGGGGAGGGAACGGGGGATGGAGGAGCATAATGGAACAAGGGAGCAAGTGAGGGGTGAGGAGGAGAGGGCGTGAGCGAGAGTAGGAGCTAGAAAGAGAGGGGGTGATGGAGGGAGGGTACCCAGTGAGCAAAGCAGGGACGGAGAGATAGAGAGCAGGAGGGAAGAGGAAGGTAGCTAGCAAGCAAGGGCAGCAGTGAAGCGAGGGTGGAAGGGATTTAAAACAATGAAAAACATAAGCAAAAAGCACTTATGCTTCAGTCAATAGTGGTAAAGTTCATTATTTTAAATAATGAGGACTTGCTTCAGAAAGCTTCCATGCCCTCCCAAGAATGTGTAAGGTGCTCTTTTATCTATAGCTCCTATGTTTACCTCCTAAAAGTGTAAATTGCTGTTAATTCTTTTGTCTCTGCCCTTGAGCTGTGAGCGCTAAGAGCAGGACTGTTAGGTTTTATTCAATTTGGTCTCTCCAGCACATAATACATTTTTTGCACTCAGAAAATGTTGGTTGAAAGAAAAAGGAAGGTGAGGGAAAGTAACACAGGCAAAGTGCTGTGAGGGCCACAGACACACAGGGGCGAAGTCCTTGTCCCCTCAGGACAGCCTCTAGCCAGGGACACAAACAAGGTGCAGATGGCAGCCTCTGACTCTCCTGTAAGGATTCCGTGTGACACATTTATGGGGGGAGGGAGACTTAGATATTTTGAAGTTTTAATTTTTTCCTTATTGTGAGATACTCGTGTACATACAGGAATGCATGTAATATGTAAAGAATAATCAATGAATGCTGTGTAATCACGACAAAAGTAAAAAACTAGAGAACCGCAGAAGCTCCGCCACATCTCTCCTGAGCACAGCTTTTCTCTCCTCAGGAAGTAACCGCCATCCTGATTTTTATAATCATTTCCTGGCCTTTCTTACGTATGGGTCCCTAACCAATATAACTTAGCTTTGCTTGTTTTTAAATTTTATATAAATTGAATCACGCAATACGCATTTCTTTTGAGACTTCTTTCCCTCAACTTTGTGTGATTAATCCATGTTGTTGAATGTAGCTGTGGTTTGGGGTTCTTTGGGGTTTTTTCCCCCCCATTATGAGAGCATTCATTATATAACTATGCCACAGTTTATCCATCTACTGCCAATAGGACTTCTGAGATTTTTCTAGTTTGGGGCTATTACAAACAGTGATTCTGTAAACATTGTTGTATCTATTTTCCGGGATATTTAAATGTTTTGTTTTGTTTGAGAAGTCATTCCACCTCTGGAATTAGTGAACTCCCTAGTGTTGTGAAATTGAAACATTTGCCCAAAGAAAGACGAGTTGAAAAAAAATCATTTCTCTCAAAATGTAGTCCAAGATGGCCCACATTAAAATTATCTGGAGGGCCGGCCAAGTGGCGCGATGGTTAAGAGCTGGCTTGGGACGCCAGAGGACCCTGGTTCGGATCCCACATGAGGGCCAGTGACACTGCCCTCCACAGCTAAGATGCTGAACAACAGCTCAACCTGGAGCTGGGCTGCCGTCAGTCGCCAGCAACGCGGTAGGCTGCAGCCCCTGCTGCAGTGGGTTGCCATGCGCTACCGTGTGTGGCCAGCAGCCAGCTGGAGTGCCTTGAGCGGCGTCCAGAATCTGGCGACTGATCTGCCTCGCCCGGGAAGAGCAAAATGATGGTGCCAACTTGGGCCAGTGAAGCAACGTCCTCCACAACTAGACTGAAGAACAAAAGGACAGCAACTTGTCTGTTCCCATCCCCCAATTCCCCAATAAAAATCTTTAAAAAAAAATCATCCGGAGAATTTAAATATGCAGATGAAAAGGCTCAGCCCAAACCTACCAAATGAGAACCTCTGGAGATGAAGCTTGAAAAAGCTGCATTTTGGCAAGCTCGCTATCTCCTCCTCCCTTCTCATGAGTCTTATGTGGATCACCAAGTCTCATTTCTGCAGATGGTCCATGTGTGGTGGGACAAAGCTAAGTGGTTGGCACAATGGTAGGAAACCTTGAGAGAAAAAGGGGTAGTAGTGCTTCCATGCCCAGGAAATCAGCTCCCTCCCTCCCTACTTCCTCTATTGTCCTTGCCCTGGTACCTCCATCTCCAAGGTCTCCAAGCGACTCTACCCTTAGCACACCTACAAGTGGAGGTCCCAGCTTTTGCTTTCTTCTCCACAGCCCTCTCCTCATCCTCCAACCTCTGTCCTGGTCCTACCCTGCTTCAAATGCTCCAATACTCAGAAGTCTCATTTTAACTAGTTCCAGTCTTTCCATGACGCTTGGCAATACTTTACCTCAGCAGGGCACCTAGTTTTTCTTGTAAGCAGACTTTATTTTTTGAGAGCAGTTTTAGGTTCAAAGCAAAATTGAGCAGAGGTGTTCTATACCCAACCCCAAAAATGCACAACCTCCTCCACTATCAACATCCCATACAAAAGTAGTGCATGTTACAATTGATGAAGCCTACATCAACACATTATCACCAGAAGTCTAGGTTCTGTGGTCCTGACAAATATATGACATGTATCCACCATTAGCACTATACAGAGTCGTTTCACTACCATAAAAATTCTGTTCCACCTATTCATTCCTCTCTCGCCACAGCCTGATCTTTCTACTGTCTCCAGTTTTTACCTTTTTCAAAATGTCACATAGTATGTAGCCTTTTCAGATTGGCTTCTTTTAGTTAATATGCATCTAAGATGGCTCCATATCTTTCCATGGCTTGATAGCTCACTTCTCTTGAGCGCTAAATAATATTCCATTATCTCGATGTTCATCCACCTAACGAAGGACATCTTGGTTGTTTCCTAGTTTTGGCAATTACGAATAAAGCTGTTATAAACATCCGTTTGCAGGTTTTGGTGTGGATGTTTTCAACTCCTTTGAGTAAATACCAGGGAGAAATTGCCAGATCATATAGTAAGATGTTTAATTTTGTAAGAAACTCCCAAACTGCCTTAAAAAGTGGCTTCACCATTTGGCATCCCCATCAGGGAAGAATGTGACTTCCTGTGGCTCCACACCCTCACCAGCATTTGGTGGTGTCAGTATTCTGGATTTTGGCCATTCTAATACGTGTGTAGTATCTCATTGTTGTTTTAAGCACCTAGTTTTTGAACTACTCCTCTTCATTTTTTTCTGAGTGGAGTCCTGTGTTTTAAAATTTTGTATAGCAAAATTTTATTGTTTCTTTCAAATTCATAATATATTTACAAACATTTCTTAAGTCTAACTTTCTCTTTTTCTCCTTTTACATTTAGGTAAACGCAGAGGGGACACCAGAGGAAGTTTTTCTTCAACTCTGCACAGCTATTGACTCTATTTTCTGAAGGCCTAATGCATGTATGTTGAGAGTCGAGACAGAGAAAAATATGAAAAGGTTCCTACCTTAACACAGTATGTTTCAGATTCAACTTTGTGTGTCCCCCTCAAATCCTGACATTACTGTTCGTTTCCCAGCCTGACCTGTCTGAGCGGTGTCTGGAAATCATGCATGGTGTATTTGGTATTCTCCAACCTTTTCGTCTTAATTCAGACAGCTGTCTGTACTCAGCACGCACCCTATTCCATCAGTAGGTTACATCTCAGAGCTAAGTTAGCGGGTGGGCAGCAGTGCAGTGCCAGTCTGTGTCAGCTGTGCCCTCAGGACTTGCTCGAGTCTGATCGTTCGGTCTACTCTCATCAGATAGGGAGTTAGCATCCCTAACTCGCCATCACATCTTCCTTCCTCTCCCGAAGATCTGTATGCTGCTGCCTGATGAAAGCCCTTAATATGGGGGTCAGGCCTGGACATCTTCCTCTGGTGACGGTCTCTTTGTTCGCTCAAGTCTTACCCACTAGTAGCTCAGAGCCAGAGAGATTAGGTTGACAATGCCAACTACTGATAAGAAATCTGATTAAATTTGACCAATTTGATAAGGAAAAATGTGAAATTGTAGAGCTTTGCCAAGACAGCAAAACCCAGATAGTTACCAATAACATTTCTCTATTCATTTTTATGAAACTGGCTACTTTGGAATACTATCACAATGGCTAAGAGAACAAATTGGGCGAAAATTGACTAACCTCGTCTCTTCTGTACCTGGTGGTGTATATTTTGGCAATTTTACATTAACACCAATGACCACATGTAATGACCAAATGTAATTTAAAAGCATGAGGTGATTTATTATTGCATCCACTGGACTAATGTCAACTTACAGTTTTGACTTTAAATGATCACCAACTTACTTAATATTGTTGCCAAGCAAATAAAAAAAATACACTAACAGCAACAAAACTGATGTGGACTTGGGAGGGGCATGTCAGTGCACAATGTTTAACAGATCCCAATGCTGTATTTGTTTCATATGAGCCCTTTCCAGGGCTTTGCAGTCCTTATACCCAAATGTAAAATTGTTTCTTCGCATCAAACCAGTGAAGTTTGGGTTCTCTTTTGTGCTATCAGTTGCCAAAACCAGAGCTTCTTATGTGTTCTTCTGGAATAACTGCATCTTCTTCCATTCAGTCACTACAATGGACCATCATTTGTTTGCATGATTTTTTTTTTTCTTCAATGGCAGTGCAGTTAAGAATCCATTTCTGAGACAAAATTGTATTTTTGAAGTCATTTTTTTTTCTTGAAATGGCTATGTACAAATAAAGTAAATGGAACACAGGATAACTCTTTTTCTATTTATTTGTAACTCACATCATTCTGGAAAGCATTTGAAGCCTTATTCCAAACAGAATTCGAAGCAAACACAGTTAATAGTTGAGATTTACGATATGCTCATATGGTTTTAATTTTGGCCTTAGATCAGTTTCAAGCTATTACAGAGAAAACCCTCAGTGTAGTCATGATACATGGTAATTTTCGCATTTCCTTATTAGCCATTCTTAAACAGAAATGTCAGTGTTTGCTAAGAAAGAAATTAAATTTCCTTGGTTACAATTACGCCTCTATTAACAAAAAGGGGCATGCTCCTACAACTCACACGGTTGTCAAATACTTTATTACTACCCCAAGTTGTCACACACTTTATAGGGGAGCAGAAGGAGTATTTGAGCAAATTAGAAAAAAAAGTTACAGGATGAAAATGATCAGTTGTGCCAGAAAACATAAAACGACTTTACACACATACCACGTATTGGCAAACACCCGTCTATCCCCACCAGCTCTGACAGCGCGGGTGAGGGAAATGTGACAGCAGGGCAGCAAACTGTAGTTGCCTGCCCTCTTGAAAGGAATCAGCCGGGGTAAGTGGCTTTGTCCCTAAAGAGTTCTAGAGATGCAAATCAAGTCTTCTACAGAATGGCTAAAACACACTTTACTGATTTGAATGGCAGGAAATGATACCACTTTAAAGTCATAGGATTTTAAAGCAGAAAGGGACCTTAGAGGTCTCTGCTCAGCAGAAGACCCTGTGTGTATGTAGAAGACATCAAAACATGATCCAAACTGCTTTACAATGGTCTACATTCAAGGCCTCACCTATCTGGCCCTGTTCCCTCTCACCCCATCAACCACCACTCTCCTTGTGCCCATCTGGCTCAAGCCACACTGGCCTCTTCATGTTGCCTCAAGCCAGCTCTTGACCGCATCAGGGCCTGTTGTTGCTATGCCCCCACCTCTTCCTCCAGGTGACCCGCAGGCCTAATTCCCTCACTCCATTCAGGTCTTTGTTTGTATTTACCCTGGTCATTGAGGCGTTCGATTATTCCATCGAAAATGACAGAATGGGCCCCATTCTTCCACCATTTTTCTTCAAGCATTATTTTTCTGCACAGCACTTACCTCTGCCTAAAACTCCATGTCTCTTATTTACTTGTTTATTGCCACTCTTCTGCATTAGACTACAAGCTCCAAGGGCAAGGCTTTGTATCCTCATTCCCACACTGAGCCGTTATTGAAAGCTGACATTTAAATCCTCCAAACCTTAGTTTCCTCCTCTATAGTGGGGGTCATGACAGTCACCTCACAGAGGTGTCGTGAGGACTGAACAAGTTAAAACATGGAAATCAGCTACTAGATCCCAATGCTCAATAAAAGGGGGTTCTCTGACAAAATTTACCAAGTGCCTCACTTCCACAATTGGGACTGGAACCCAGGATCTCCACTCTAGTGCCCTTTCCATGAGTCTAAAAATACCGCTGAGAATCAAGATACAAGGCCTAACTGGGGTCCCAGAGAGAAACACAACCTTCTCAGCCACCCACAGTTGAGCCACGTCCTCCAGATAAGATAGGATACAGTTCCTCAGTCCCTTCAGGGCCCTCCCTGTAAAGGATATCTCCTAAGGCAAGCCCTCTGTGGCTCCCACAGACACACTCAGACATCGGTGGTGTCTTACCTTCCTAGAGAAAAGATGTAACTCACCAAAATATTCGTCATACTACTGAAAAATATTTATTGAGATTCTAATAAGAATCAGGCCCTAGGGATACAGGCAGACATGGATGGTCTCTGTCTCTATGGAGCTAAATGTGACACCACTCTCAAAAATCCACTTAATCAGCTATATGAACTGTGGAAAAAAAAAGAAGTAACGTTTTAGTTTTTTTCTGGGATCATTAAACAGAAGCACATTTATCATCCAGGTAAGAAATAAAAACAAACACTTTGCAGGCTAAAAAGGACTACGCCTCCATAAACTTGTAGAAAAACCTACTTGTTATCTGGAGACTTCCGATCCCATCCACCGCACCTAGCATCGGCTTTCAAACTTCGTTATCCACAGTAAAAACTACAGTTTATATAGCATGCCACATTATATTTATAACTAAAAAAGACATTTCACAAAACATTTATCCTTACTACATGTGATGTACTATTTTCTGTTTCTTTTTTTTCCCTTAATGTTCCTCACACCACAGTAAACTGTTACGTTCCACAATTTAATTTCAACAAAGGGAAAGGGGAGAAGAATGGACAAGGCATACTATTAGGTGAAGTGAGAGGCACCAAACGCATGTGGAAACAAAGTCTACCTGAGGCAGGAGACAAGCCTTAGTCCCAACTTTGCCTACAGCCTCATAACCACGTTTGCTGTCAAATGAGAATATGTACATGATATGCGTGTTTCCCTACTTCATCATGGCAGACCATTTCAGTGCTTTTCCCCCAGCCACAGACCTGCTTCTCTGTTCTGTGCTATAAACCTGGATGTGTACTCAGGTTTGTACTCTAGGAACACTACACCAGAAAAAAAACAAACCAGAAAATCAACCCCCACACACCTCCACCTCCACAACCTCAGTGATGCCTGACACAAAGGGAAACGGGGTCGAGAGGCAGACACCGGCCCTGTCCAGGTTAAAATGCAGGCACCTCCACTTTACTAACTGTATATGATTTGGGGCAAGTTATTTAACCTCTCTGGTTAGATTTCCTCGTATGAAAACAGGATAATACATGAACCTGCCTCATAAGGCTGTGAGAATTAAATCAATTACTATGTGCTTGCTTGGCACATAGTAAGCACTATAGATATCAGTGTTTGCTATTATTATTACTGCACATCACACAAATCAAAAACTCCTCTGCTTAAACCTGAAAGCAGTGGTTTTAGGTGCCATTAAAAGTTCCTTCAGTTCTTAATCAAATAATTTGAGCACATTATTTCAGGAAATACTACCTCTGACCTCCTGACTACTACTTAACAAGCAATGCTTTTTAAAAAGTAGGTCTATGTTGTCTCTCATAGCCAATAACTCTTTGTAGGAGATGGGGGGGCCACCTTGCATATGACAGCCCTGCCCATTCCCGCAGTCATCAAATTAAAACAATGATGACAACACATTACCACTATTACTCCCCTTTAGGGCCTTTTAAAGGTATGAGGACTATTTGCTTGGAGCTGAAAAAATGCAAAATAAACACATCTTTTTTTGCTCAAGCAGAAAATAATCCTCTTGGCCACTCAAAAGTCTCAAAATATTTGCCCTTGAAAAATACGTTTAAGTAGATTTGTCTATTCTGTTTACATAATGACTGTATCATTTATAGCCCTCTTCCAAAGCATAATTCATACTTTATGGGATTTTTGAATGGATCAAAATGGTTCTCCAAAACTAACAGGTATTATTTCTATACAAACACAGAAGTTACAGAAGTTACCATCAAGTGCTACTGTCTTGCTAACTACAAGTTGAAGGTAATCTTCTGGTATATTCACTTAACGTCTAGTATCAAAATGCCCAGAATTCTAATGATTACTCTCTTCTTCCCCCAACTAATAATTCCAGGGTGAGAAGTTAAGCTCAAGTTTATTTCCTTTTCTTTCTGATGCAATATATTTTTATCAACATCACCAGTAATCTTTAATTAATATATTATGTTAAAATTCTCATATTTCTATATTTTAAGTTATATTACTTTTCTCAATTAAAAATATTCAGGGTATGATTTTAGTGCCCTACATTGGATTAAAGAGGACAAGTAAATAATATTCCCTTGATTTAAAATCAGAAAAAAAGCAGGTGACTCTAAAAATTGGGTCGGTATAATACTTAATCAATCTTAATACATTTTTATTCTTTTCCAATAGTCAATAATAATTTCCAGGGAATATGGTGATTTTCAAAAACCACCTATTTAAATTAAATACATGAGAGGTTTATCTTCATTAAAAAGAATGAGTAAAATTTTCAACCTAAGTTTAGTTTTCACATTTGGACATATATGTCTTGTTCTTTAACCTGGTATGTGTTCTGTTTTGTAACCCGGTTTAATTTAGCATTTCAGCACAATACTGAATGAAAACATTACCATCTTTTACAGAATTTCTCAAGTTCACCCTCTTTTCCAAAATATAGTCCTTATTCTTTTTAAAGGACAGATAGATAAAGCAAATCCTTTTAAAAATTTTGAGTTTTAACACTAGTAAAAAAAAAAACTTCAAAACCTACCCAAAGGAAGTCACAACAAGCATTCTATAATATAAACAGACAGTATCCACATAGTTTATTTCTCACAGTTCTCCTGACAAATGAGTATTATTCAAGAACATACTGTATACACAGATAAGAAGAAACATACAAAATGTTTTAAATGATGCACAACAAAATCCAGCAGTATAAAAGAATGCATGTGAACTCTTGCTCACTGCGCAGACTAAATTTAATCACTTGTTTAAATAGTAATAAAAATACAATCTTTTATGGATCTTGTGCAGACTACAAAAGAGGGAAATTATTACCATATATATATGATTTTTATATTAGGCAGTTTTCTTTGATGAGTTGCACAGACAACTCCAAATACAGAGGCAGAAGGCTGTGTATTTTAAAGGAATTAATGTTGTGAATTAGAGACTTTACACAGTTACTACCACTGGCACTTTTCACCATAGTTTGTACACATCACATGATCATCTTATATAACATTACATTTAAAAAATATATCTGAGTGACAATTTTATAACATTCACACACCATGAGCTGGTTAAGGAAGCAATGCCACCGTTGCCTCCTGTAGTGCTTTGTGTTGGTAACAAGGACAGTTCATTGTGGTTAAAAGAAATTAGACATCAATATGGTTAAGCAGCTCCAATTTACTAAAGGCCACCAGTGGCCACCACTGGGACAGTGAGTTCCTTTAAAGTGTATATTCTAGAAGCAAACACCATCATTGGTTAAAACTTTGTCTAAAGAAGTCAGTTTCTGTGCTGAAAACTATTTTCACAAAACTGAAAGCTACTAAACGGTTTTAATATAAATACTTTGTCTTCTCATTATCATATTTATGACCAAGTTCTTTGAAACCTTTGGAATTTACTCTCTCTTGAATGTGTGCTCTCGTTGCCGTCTCACCGATCACCACCTACAAGACTGGAAGGTGGTGGTGAGAAATTCCCCCAGGAAACCCTTTGCTCACCAGGAATGTGCAGCTGCTGTACAGTGATCTAAGCCACAACAGTGCAGAGCTGGACTTGACGAGAACACTCAGGAAGCTGTCATGCTATGAGTGTCATTTCAGGGAAAGCAGAGAATCTTTCCAAACTGTGCACATCACTCACAATGGTACCATTGCTATGTGTTGAAGAGGACTAGTATACGATGCTCTCTTCCATGTCATCTGTTTGCTGGAAAGTAGTTTGGGTCAAGGTAATTATAACTGGTGCCCTGGGACACACAGTAGTCTCTGTCTAAAAACGTCTCTGACCTATAAACAGGTTCTAATTGGTGATCTTCCTTGTGAATATCTGTTTCACGTAGGCTGCAAAGAGAAAACACACAAAAACACTTTATTACATGGCCGGCACTGGATGCACTTTGGCCTAGATATTACAAAACTTCCTCACAGCTCGACCTGTTTAAATCCATTAATCTATCAAAATCTCTAATGGAAAGTTACTCAAGACATACGATGATTAAGGAAAATTCCTTCACTGCCTAGAACAACAAAATTTAATCCACTAAACGTGATTTTCTAAGTAGTTTGGAAATCAAATCCACTAGTGGCTGAGTTCTTTACTTGTCAAAATTTAAAATCTACAATGAAAAAAAACACTTACCAGTCTGAACAAGAATCACAAAAATCCAAAGACATTTCTGGAGGACAATCCTGGCAATGCCACCGAACCCCCTGGATAGGTTCTATGCCACAGTTATCACACTATAAAAGAGAGAAAAAGGGTGAAGCTATATTGTTCCAAAACCTTTTTATTCCTGCTGGAAAACACATGATGTGCGTAGATACCCCTCCCCTTTCTCCCCCTGCACTACACAGTGGTCTAACACAAAAATGATTCTAAGTTAGGTACAGTTTCTAGCAAGCTAGCTGAAATTCCATGCATTCAAGATCAAGCTACATGTAGATGAGAGGGACATATTAAGAAATAACGTTATTATGTTTTATTTTTAAAAATTTTAAGACAATCATCTACAAACTTGGGCATTTGATTATTAGTAACTATTTATTGGGTTGTCAGAAAAGTCATGATGTATTTTTTTCTATGTTTTTCATTGCAAAAATGCGTCATGACTTTTCCGACAACCCAATACTTGAAAGGTACCTCACACCAGTGTACAATGACTGTGATTGAGAGCCAATGACTTAATACCATAGTTAAAACTATCCAAATATGTTACAAAACTATTTAACAGGTTATTGTACTCACATGAACCCAGGTGAACACAAAATCCTCTCTGAACTTTTACCTTACTGAATTACTCTCCAAAGCCTGAAGCCTCTTAATAACCTTTGCCCATCATGAAGAAAAGGCAGCTCTAGCTTTTTCTCAGTGTGGTGGATTGTGGTAGCCCTCAGTGTATTCTGTGCAATTTTGGAAATCAAAGCAAACCTCATTTCTGGTTTCTTTGATCACCAGGCCAACTAGAGTGGCTGACTGGCCAACAAGCCACAGCTGGGTCTTGCAGCAAAACGATGAGAAGTAAAGAGAGCTTCCTCTTGAAAGGCCAGAGCTGTCAGGAAAATCTCTACTAGAAAAGCAGGGTCACTTAATGATCAAGAGGGAAAACCATTTAATATAGTCAGCCTAATGCCCATGCCAGAAGACCAGAGGTATAAGAATTTTGTTTTAAATTTGAATTTATCAGTCACAGCACACATCTGTATTTTTATGTATACCACTACCAGCAAATCTATAGTTCATGGCCTCATTATTACTACCTCCAATCCCATCAAATACAGTCAATTCTAATGCCTAAAGGGTTCTCAAATCTGTCAATCTCTATTTCCACAGCCAAATTCAGGACATTCTCATATTTTCTGTAAATTATCAATCGAATTTCTAACCCAGTCTCCCTGCTTCCAGCTTGCTTTCTTCCTATCCATTCTCCATACTAAGGCCAGAATCATCTTTTTCTCCTTTCCTTAATTTTTTCAACTACGTAAATAACATACATGAATACATTATTGTTTTTAAAAATTTAGCAACATAGTAGTCAGAAATTAAGTTACCCACTACCTTCCTAAAGGTTACCAATACTAACAGTTTAAGAATGATCTTTCCAAAATGCAAATTTCATGTTATTCTCTGCTTAAAACCCCCAATCTTTTAGGATAGTTTAAACTTCTTAACAAGATTTCCAAGGCACCTCAATAGCCTCTCACTACTCTCCAGGAAGCACTCTAGTAGTAGTCAACTATTTTACTTACTTAACGTCTCTAATTCCTTATGACGTAAAAACAAAATAAGGGCAAGAACTGAGTCTGTCTTGTTTACCTCTGAATCCCTAGCACTTAGTAAGTGCCTGAGCAAAATTTCAAGATTTTGTGGAATGAATAAATATATTTCTATTATACTAGCCTCTCAAAAAATAGTAGAGATAATTGAATCCGCAAGGGGAAAAAAATTTTCTTTTTTTTATTTTATTTTATTTTTTTTAGCTGAGCCATCCTGCCCCCTGTGGGCAGCTCAGTGGCAGCTCAGCTCGGGCTGGGAATCGAACCGCTGTTGCTCAGAGTTTAAAATTTTCTGATCCATGAACAACAGCAACAAAAAGAGAAATGTAGCTCCATAGATCAATGGATAAAGAAAATGTCACACACACACACACACACACACACACACACACACACACACTGGAGCATTATTCAGCCATAAAACAGAAGGAAATCCTGCCATTTTGGACAACATGGATGAACCTAGAGGACATTGTGTAAATTGAAATAAGCCTGACACAGAAAGACAAATGCTATATG